TTATTATTATTATTATTATTCACAAAAATGACAGTGTACACAGCAAATGAGATAACTAATCAATTATTATTTCATATCACAAATCACTAGTCAATTATTATTATCAAATCAATTATTATTGTTGTTGTTTTGTTTTTCATTGTTGTTTGTTATTGGTATCATTATTATCATTATTATTAGAATTTTGGGGGCAAACCAGGAGAAAAGAGAAGAGTTTCCCAGCAGTGTAAGGTCAAAAAAGTCAAGATGGCGGTGACACACCTTTAAAAGGGGGGGGGGGTTCTGGGCTGTGAGCAGAGCAGCCATCTTGATTCTTGATGCTCTGAGGATACAACGAGGAGGGATGGAACGGCCTGATTCTCAACCTTGGTCACTTTAAGAAGGGTGGACTGCAACTCCCAGAATTCCCCTAGCCTGCCAAGATGGGCTGGGGGATTCTGGGAGTGGAAGTCCTCCCCTCTTAAAGCATGGCTGGCTGGGGGATTCTGGGAGCCGAAGTCCACCATTTTAAATAAATTATCCTGGCTGAAGGATTCTGGGAATTGAAGTCCACCTCTCTTAAAGTGACCAAACACTGATTTAATAAAATATTTCCGCCATGGAGGAAATCTCCCATCATGCCATGGGTGGAAGAGGCCGGCTGTCTCCCCGAAAATGGACAGAGACCTCCCAAACCCAGCAGGCAAGCGCAGCCCACTCCCACAATTACTCCCACATGAGTCTCTTCTTAACGCCGCCACAGGGAAGATTCCAGAGACTGTTGGGGAAAAAAGAAAGAAATCAAAATATCAGTCAGGATATGCGGGCAAATCCTCGAGGTACGATCCAAAATGGATCTCCTCCCCAATTTCAGTCGCTAAACGTGCACTGACAATGCTCCACAGGCAGTCCTTCGGCCTTATGAGCCCACGATGGATGTTGCTCAGGGAGAGGGTCGTGAAGTAAGTTTTGCCTCGTTTTACGACCTTTCTCGCCGTGAAGCGAATCACTGCCATTACAAAATTGAGGGACACGGTTGTGGCAGCCATGGGTGGTAAGTGTGAAAAATGGTCATAAGTTGCTTTGTTCTTTGAATGGTCACTGTGTGAGGATCACAGGCAGCCCTCGACTTACGACCACAAATTTCTGTCCCTACACTTGCAGCTATGAGGATCCACCGGGAGTCCTTGGCTTATGATCACAATGGAACCCCATATTTATGTCACTAAGCGAGATGCTTGTTCAGTGAGTTTTGTCTCATTTTACAACCTCCCCACTGTCGTTAAATGAATCACTAGAGCTATTAAAGTTAGGAACATGGTCGTTAAGGGAATCTAACTTCCCTGTTGATTTTGATCCCTGGAAGGTCGCAAAAACGGAATTGTGTGACCCCCGGGAAGCTGCAACCGTAATAAATGCGAGTCAGTTGTCAAAGTTCTGGATTCTGATCACGTGACCCTGAGGACGCCACAACAGTCGTTAAGTGTGCACATGGGTCCTAAGTGACTTTTTACAGTGCCATTGTAGCTTTGAACAGTCGCTAAATGAACTGTCATAAGTCGAGGACTATGTAATGCATTCATAAGGACCAGTAACAGTTTTTCTGTTTCGGGAGAATTGTTTTCCCTGGTTCTCGGCTGCTTTTTGGCCTCAAGAGTTGGTTAAAGGTTAAAGGTCACTTGGCTATACAGGTAGTCCTTGATGGCAGTTCACTTAGTGACCATGTGATGGGACGATGCCACTGAAAAAAAAGGGCTGCGATCTGCTGTCAGGATTCCGGCAGTTCCCCCCATTTCAATGCTGAGTCTCGGAGCCAAACTTCCAAAACTTCCAAAGGATTTATGGGGAGTTAACATGTCCGGCACTGCCTGGGTGTAGCCGACTCTGAGACACATCATTCCTTGTCCCCCTGGACCCTGTTTTTCCCCCCACCCCTCTGAGTGTGTCATAAATCATATTCTCCAATGAGACACATCCATAGCCCAGAGCCATCAATCATGTTTCTCCAATTAGGATTTTGCCTCGGCAGAAACTTCAGTCACCTAGTTACTATCTTTGAACAACTATGTATGGAATGCGCTTTTGGTTTCCAAGCTGCCGCACTGCTCCCCCTCCCTTTCTGTTGGCAACTCTTAAGAAGACCATAGAAGTATTTATGAGTTGACAGGAGGTACTGTTCTAAGAGAGCATTCGCTCTCTCTGTACTCTCCAATGGGACACATCCATAGCCAAGAGGCATCAATCATGCTCTCCAATAATAATCTTGTGCGCCAACAGCTTTGGTTGCCAAAATGATTATCTGAAACATTTTAGGAATGCACTGCTCCCCCCACTCCCTTTCTGCTGGCAGCTAAAAAGACCAAAAGAATATCTTTTTAGTTGAGAAAAATGAGTTCGTGGCTCTGCACTACTCAAAATTTCTGCAACCAGTACGCCAGAACCGGTCCAAACCGGCTGAATACCACCTCTGTCTTTGACTTACAATGATTTGTTTCGTGATCGCTCAAAGATATAATAGCACTGGGGAGAAAAATGACTTATGGCCAGTCCTCACAGTTACGACCATCACATTCCCCCACCACAGTCACGTGATGCAAATTTGGGGGCCTGCCAACTGGCGTGTATTTCACATCATTTGCGACGTTTCCACCAGCAAAATCAATAGGGAGAAAGCAGGATTCACTTAGTGACTGAGTGTTTCACTTAAGGACAGCCATGATTGGCTTAACTGCCATTGGAGAGAAAGGTCTTAAAATTGGAAGTGGGCCAGATTCATTTAGCGACCGACTGATTCACTTAAGGACAGCAGCGAATGGCTTAATCGTCGCGGGCAAAAAGGAGCATAAAATGGGGCATAGCTGATTCCACACCTGCCTTGCTTAACAATGGAATGTCGGCTCTGAATTGCCGTCATAAGTCCAGGACTATCTGTAAGGGCTAATTTTATTTCTCTGGCTGAAAAGACTTGACCCTAAGAGGAAACACTGACTGAGGTTGTGCAGAGGTAGTCCTAGATTTACTATGCTTCACTTAGTGATCATCCAAAGTTACAAAGTCCGTGAAAAAAGGGACTTAGGACCAGTTTTCACACTTACGACCATTGCAGCAGTAAAAGTAAACCATGGTTTAATGCGATATGAGAGCTCGGCTAAAATTAATCCCTGCATTATTGATTTACAGGCAGTCCTTGACTTATAATGATTCATTTAGTGACCATTGGAAGTTGCAACGGCACTGAAAAAGTCCCTTATGATCGTTTTCCACACTTACAATTGTTGGTCACCTGATCAAAATTGATCAACCGACTCCCATTTATGATGGTTGCGGCATCTCCGGGGGGCACACGATCCCCTTTGACGACCATTTGATGAGCTGGATTCACTTAACGACTGGGTGACTAACTTTTCAGCTGCTGCAATTCACTTCCCAACGGTGGCAAGAAAGGTCGCGAAAGTGGAACAAAACTCACTCAACCAATGTCTTGCTTAGCAAATGAACTTTGGGGGCTCAATTGCAGTCGTAAACCAAGGACTCAGCCATAGTTCGGGATGGGAAGAGTGATTCACTTAATAACGTTGGTTGTCCAAGGGGAGACAAAAAGTCACTTCACAAGTGTCTCACTTGGTGATATAAATTCTGGGCTCGATTGTGGTCGTAAGTCGAGCTGTGTGTGTGTGTGTGTGTGTGTGTGTGTGTGCGTGCATGTGCGCGCACATATATCACATATATACACAGCCAAACCCCCACCCAATCAAGTCACACCCCCACTAGCAGTTAAAAGGAAGAAGCAGCTGCAAGCTCACATCACTCTGAGAAGCACAGAGTGGAAGACACAAGCCTGAAGATGATGAATGAGACTTCATCGAAACATTGCCTAGATACTTCCAATCTTACGCGGGAGAAAACCCGAATAACCAAACACACACACACACACACACACACACACACACACACACACACACCCTTGTGTCCCCCTCTTGAAATACCACCTTGCTTCTGACCAAAGGATAGCCCCCCACTCCGAAAACTAAAACTCTCACCTCTTTATCTACTTTGGAGTGGGGTATCAGAGTCCCAGAATGCACCGGGAAGGGGGGGGTCCACTGGCACCAGCTTCTCTTGCCTGGGGGAGGGCGCCTTCTTCTTCTGTCTTCTCTTGTGGAGGACTCTGGGAGGGTCAAGAGAAGTGGGGGAGATGCTCGTAGGTTTCTATCATGGTACGAGAGCCGGGACAGCCACCATTCCCAAACCACACCGAGAGGACCCAGGCACAAGTCTATGGAAATAAGAGCAAATCCTTGCCCTTCTAGCACTGAGGATGTTCCCTAGTTGGGTGATGAGACGTCTGCAGAAAAACCACCCAGCTCAGAGAGCACCAAGGACCCCACAGTACTCCTCTCCCCCTCTTCCTCCTCCTCCTCCCCCCTCCCTCACCTTTCCCTTCTAGCGCTGATGGTGTTAACCAGTTTGGTAATTAGATGTTTGCAGGGAAACCACTACGCTGAGAGAGCATCAAAAAACCCATAGTCCTTTTCTTCTTCGTCATTCCCCCTCCTGCCCCTCCTCCTCCTCTTCTTCTCCCTCCTCCTCCTCTTCCTCCTCCCCCCTCTTCTTCCTCTTTCTCTTCCACCACTTCCTCCTCCTCCTTTCTGCAAACCCCTCTCCTTTCTAGTACTGATGCTGTTCTCTAGTTGGGTCATAAGACGTCTGCAAGAAAAAAAACCCCAGATCAGGGAGTCCCAAGGGCCCCTTTAGGCCAAGAGCAGCCAGCTTTCGAGTCTGCCGATCCAGCCCGGATGCCCCCTTCCACCCCCAAAACCTTGCCCTGCCGTGCCAAAAGGCCGGTTCCCAGGGTCACCACCCTCTCAAGGACTGTGGGAAGAGCAACGTACCCAATGGTGGGATTCAAACTTTTTTTTACTACCAGTTCTATGAGAGTGTGCTTTGTGCACGCACAGTGTTCGAAATACACCCATTTCAAGCACTACAGCTTTTCCTTCTAGGCAAAACCCCAGTAAGGAAAACAGCTGAGACGCAGGAATCTACTGTGCCGCGTGAACCACCTGAGCTGAAAAACGCGGAAATGTAGGACAGGATAGGGTGGGGCCAGCTGATCGTTGGTGCAATTGGTTTGCTAGAACCGTTCCGAAATGGCTGCACCCCACCGTGGAGCGTACCCCGGAAGCCCTGCCCCACTCACCACGGTCCTCATCGGCCCTCGGCTCAGAGCGGAGAGGCTGCCCAACCGGTAAGGTCTCCATCGCCTCCGCTGGTACTGGGTAGTTCGGATGATCCGGACGGTGGCCGTGCTCCCCTCCCCATGGCCATCCTGTGGGATGGAGAGGTCGTAGAGAAGACCAGCCGCTTTACAACAGCCCCCTCCCCTCTTCCCCCCCCCAGGGGTTAAATTCGACCCTTTGGCTCTTCCTATCCAGCCTGCTTGAGGCAGATCAATGTGGCCTTGCAGGCACAGGGGGGTACACTTCAATCAGAATAGAGCTGGAAGGGAGCTCGGAGGTCATCTAGTCTGACCCCTTGCTCAAGCAGTAGACCCTCACAGAATTACAGAATAGTAGAGTTGGGAGGGAGCTCGGAGGTCATCTAGTCTGACCGCCTGCTCGAGGAGGAGACCCTGACAGAATCAGAATTGGAAGGGACCTCGGAGGTCAAATAGTCCGACCCCCTGATCGAGCAGGAGACCCTTGCAGAATTACAGAATAGTAGAGTTGGAAGGGACTTTGGAGGTCATCTAGTCTGACCCCCTGCTCGAGCAGGAGACCTTATACCCATTTCAGACAAATGGGTTGTCCGCTCTCTTCCTGAAAGCCTCCAACATTGAAGCACTCGCAACTTCTGGTGGCCACTGCTGAGTTGTCCTCCGTGCTGGGAAATTCCTCCTTCAGGCCAGGTTGCTTCTCCCCTTGATGAGCTTCCACCTCTCGCTTCTTTGTCCTGCGCGATGGCCGAGAAGTCCACCGACCAACTGAGGCCTACATTCCCACCCCCGGATTGTACCGAACTATGTCTGGCCAGGTTCCTCTACTTCCTCTTCTCCATCCGACGGGTCAACGAAAACCACAATGACGATGGTGGGAACCAAGACCCACAATAGCCGGGAATCCATTCTGGAGAACCACCAGAAGATCTCTGGGAGATCTTCCCTCCAGTCCAAACATCTCCTGGGAGAAGCAGAGAGGAGGAGGAGGAGGAGGAGAAGGAGTCCAGGCACCTTGAACGATGGTTAAAGATTAACCGATGTCCTACAAAGAAAGATTAACTTGGATTGAAGAAGAATTCAGGGGTGGGGACCATGGAGATTTTCCATTTGACCTCCAGAGTGAGAGGCCACTCAGTGGAAAAAATGTGGCCTCTGGAGCAGGAGGGGATGGAGGGGATGAACCAAGGAAGTCTGGACTTCAGCAAGAGAAAAGAAGAAGCTGGCTCAGATGTTGAGCACCTGTGACTGGCCATTGCCTGAAGAAGAAGAAGAAGAAGAAGAAGAAGAAGAAAGAAGAAAGAAGAAGAAGAAGAAGAAGAAGAAGAAGAAGAAGAAGAAGAAGAA